TGGCGAGCACAAGAACCAAAATCATCTGCTGCTACATAACAGAGGTCATACAAAGTAATATGTCACCATATAATGCATAAGACTATTAGTTGAAGGAGGAGGTAGCTGTGCTACAAATTATGCCATTCTCCCGCTAGTAGAATTGACTGTTCTAAAATCAATTTTCTGGGGATTGATCAACTTTTGTAAGTAGCAAATATATTCCTTCGAGAAATAAACTGTGTACATTTAGAAACTAGATGACAACTGCTACTAACTACTAAAAACTTTTAAAGCAACTTTATTTTATAGATACATTTGTTTGAATTTTTGAAACAGTAGGTCAATCAAACAAAATCGGAGAGCTAGTATGAAATTTCACCTATGTTCTCTAGTTCACATATTTTCAAATGTGTTAGTGTTCTCTTGATCATCTCTTTTTTTTTTTTCTTTCTCACTTAGCAAGTAAGACGAAAAGCTAACTGAAAAGAAGATCAAAACATGGTTCAGTAGCTGTCCAGGAAGTAAATTTGTGTTTATATGAGAAGTCTCAGGTTAAACTTGTGGGCTGTGGTTTCAAAAACAAAGGGCTTAACAATCCGGAGGAGCCAATATATATGCTGATGATTAAAGTCTACGCCTCTCCAACATATATACAACAAGACTTGACAATTTCCAGTATTTCAAACATGTGATCAAAATAATGGTACACATTCTCATTGCAGGTGCTACGTTCCCTAGTCTTTGCAAAATCAATACTCTGCAGCACCCGACACCTCTTCCAAACGGACCACAATACAGAGGTGACAGACTCTACCAATTTACCTGGCAGTATTGGAATAAGAGTAAACCAGCTATACTAGTGACCCTTAACTAGACTACTCCTAGCCCCTAATAGTGACCACCACAGACACACACACACACCCTCCAAAATAAAGAAACAAAGTGGACAAAAGGAAGAAAAATATTAACAATGAGAAGAGAACATATAGTTTGTCTCAGCAGGGCCCAATCAAATGATGGATGCACAAGCACACAATAAAACAGTTTCTAATCTTAACCTAAATGATGCCAATAGGTACAAGGATGATATAGACATGGAACAGGGAATACAAGCATCCCATCAGCTCCTAAGCATGCTAAAACAGGAGGGTTATTGGTACAACTAATGAACCCTACGATTACCTTTTTAATCCTGTAAAGAAAATTTTACCTAAAAATGATCTTGATATGTAGTTTAAGAGGATTTTTCCATGGAAAAAGAATATAACAGGAAAACAAGAAAAAGAGAATATCAGTCTTAGAATAATCAGAGTCAAAACTATAATGTAATACATAATATGTAATAATGGACAGAACTCACTAGCCTACTATGCTAAGATACGGTAGTAGTTTAGTTTTGGCCTATTTGCTTTATGTTCAAAATTACCAAGTTCATCTTAAGAAGGTTAATATCAAACTACCAGGCCAGTTATTTCGACCAATCTTTTTTTTGATGAATCAATGGCATCTTCAGTACTCTGACAATCTTTTACAGATTAAGTTAGAAGAGGCTGCTAAATAAGATATAATCATGGTGCAGAGCACTAAAGTGATCAAGTGGTATTATCTGAATTCATTTGTTTGCTTTCACTAGTAGATTTGACAAAGAGATTCACTTTTAAGCTTCAAAGTGCCCAATGAAAATAGATGTTAAACAATAATAGACTCCTTTGGTGTTCATTTACATGGTTTCAACAGACACATACAAACGAAAGAATGCACAACAAGTCCAAGGAGCTAAATAAAAAATGCCACCATGTCTAGGCTAGATTTCTCTTGTGTAGCAACACGAAAAAAGAGAACCATAATCAAGGATGCAACAGCCACAACAACAAGACAGTTGGCACAATTGCAATCCAATTGCAATCCAATTGTCGTACAAATTCATGATACCATAGGAAAATGCCCATTCTGACAAAATAGGGGGAAATGCTTCTCAATCATCTCATGTTGTGCAATTATAGGCTATATGTTATTTTATCCTACGTGTACTGCTCGATTTCAAGTGTTACGTTGATTACTTATCACTTTTGCATATAGGAAGCCAATTAAGACCAAGTGAGCAAATAAATGCTTGGCATAGGATGGGAAAACAAACCTAAACAGATATGCCCATTGCTATAAATATGAGGATGTAATGGCGCTGGAGGGATAAAAACAACCTGCCAAATATAAAAATAAAATGCTACAGTAAAAATTAAATATACTGAAAGAGGAAACTAATAGGAATATCAAATAAGCAACAGAATGCTTTGCATTTTGAGACATATGATGTTAGATATTAGATCCAAGTTGAAGTATTTAAAGCAGTTGAACCCAAGCTGATGGAATAAGAAAGTTAACACATGTATAATATAATGTACTTCTATTAGTTAATAGTAAATTAATTGAGAAAATTCTGAAGGGCTTTACTTTATAAATCCATGTACACTTCACCATAAGCCTAGGCATTTCTTACTAGTAATTTTTTGTTAACAAGGGAACCCACAGCCGCTATCCTTCGGGTGCGCACAAGGTAAGCCCACAAACCACACAGGATGGTAAACCGCACTAGGCAACCTCGTGCGACGGGCTCGACCGAGGAGGTATGCAAATGGGTTTCAAACCCTAGACCTCCCATTTGGGAAATCCCCTGCTCAACCAACTCGGCCACCCCGAAGGGTTAACATTTCTTACTAGTACTAACTGATCATTGCCTACTGCTTAAGTCTTCACTTAAACAAATTTTTAGTCCTTAAGGACTTCACAATTTCTTCTCTTACTGATCATTTCAATCCATAAACTGATATAAAACAGAGCAAGAGAAAGTTTTATTCAAAATAACAAAAATTAAACAAAATATAAAAAAAGGAGAGAAACTCACTTGTGGGGCTTCCATAGGGTAATGCTCAGGAAAATCAACCTGAAGCTGATACATCTCATTTGCATACAAAGTCCCTGCTGCCCCGTTGACTTCAATTATCCATCTACCACCCCAACAAAAAACATAAATTGAAAATGATTCACGGGAAAAAACAATAAAGATTAAATCTTTTTTCTAATTCCACCCTTAATACATGAAAACTAAATAAATTTATATAAGAAAAAATAAAAGATAAAGAGCTCTTTACCTTTGAAGATTATCAGTAACTTTGTGTTTAAATCCAGCAGGAGGATTAACTTGCCATTCTACAAGCTCTTTCTGCAACCGATTGCAAGCGATCTTGCTCAAAGCCTACTACATTCCAACTCAATCAACAACCCCATTT